TGAATCTGTTTTTGGGTAGGTGAGGTGAGTAAATACATGTTCATATTTAGTCTAGAACTACAGTAAGATCATGTTCACTGATGTTCTCTGCACTTACTCCCCATTTCTCTCAACATGAGGAAAGGAGAGCTGTCAGTCAATCCATGAGAAACAAAGTAACTGGCGTTACTTATGTGAAAAAGTAACTCAGATATTTCCTTCTAATTTCAAAAGTAATGCGTTACTTTACTAGTTACTTTAAAAAAGTAATCTGATTTTATACTCATCAAACATGAAGCGCACTTTAGCCCAGCACTTTCCTGCCACCAGCGTACAGCCCTTCCTCAGAGTGCCGCGCTGGATGATGGCTGTGGTAACCGGCCTGTGGAAACACCACAGCTGATGGGAAAACTCTTCTGATATAATATAACGTGCAGTTCTTATGAATCTCTGACACTGTAGGGATGTCTCGTTTACACTAACCCTTTGCCTTTGTCTGAGCGGCTCTCGATGACCGTCCCCTCCACCAGACCTGTGGGGTCGCCCTTCAGCTCCAGGACCTCTGCCAGCGTCACCGTGGCTTCAGCCAGCTCTAATAAATTGTCCCCCTGCAGAGAAATGACACGCTAATAGCTGCCATATTCACATATAATAATTCCAATGTCATGTGGTGCGGTACCAGTCACAAAAGTGTAAAAAAATATTAACACTGACAAATCCCTGTCACTCTGTAAACAAGAAGACACTACAAAAATATTCGGACATCTAACACCATGCCAAAAAAAGTATTGTATTAGATGCTAAAATATATCAAAAATGGCAATTATTTTAAAGAAATAAAGCACATTTTTCATGCTTCAATTGAAATTTTTTCAAAAGCAAAGTATTATTAATATTATTACTGCCTCTGGTTAGTCTCCTAGAACTAACTTCATATATCCAGAAATCACTTGGTTCTTTTTTTTTTTGCTATTATGTGATTATTGATGTTATCCAATAACATAACATTTTTTTAAGGGTGGCATAAGAGTCTAAATATTAGACCATGGTACCTTTAATGCAGACACGTGATTGGCCTGTATTTCCCCACCAAACTCCTCACAGACGACATCATGGCCTACAAGCTCCTCTTTCACGCGTTGGGGGTCGGCTTGAGGTTTATCACATTTATTCACAGCAACAATAATCGGCACTGTAGATCAAAACACAGAATTATGATAAATACACAAAATTGATACAATAATGTAATGATAACAATTTGTCACGTCATATATATATATATATATATATCTATGTATGTATGTACACTACCGGTCAAAAGTTTGGGATCAGTAAGACTTGTAATGATCACATGAATAAATTACATTTTAATGTATATTAAAATAGAAAAACATTATTTTACATCATCATAATATTTCACAATATTAAATTTTTTCCTGTATTTTTGATCAAATAAATGCAGCCTTGATGAGCATAGGAGACTTCTTTAAAAAAACATTAAAAATCTTTCTGATCCCAAAGTTTTGACCGGTAGTGTATGTAAAAACAATAAAATAAATATAAAAAACATTTATATTAAATAGGATTGCATTTATTATAATTGTAATTTCAATCATAATTTATAAACTGCATATTACCTTTGGCTTTTTTGGCATGCTGTATGGACTCAATAGTCTGATTCATCACACCGTCATCAGCTGCAACCACCAGGATGACTATATCAGTGACCATGGCTCCACGCGCACGCATGGCAGAAAACGCTGCATGGCCAGGTGTGTCCAGAAAAGTGATCTTCTCACCTGAGGGCAGCTGAACTGAACAGGAAACAGGCTCGTTTGATCACAAAATTTGCTTACTTGGCACAGAGGATGCCAAAAAGAACAGCACATAATACTGGGAAATAAATTATTTCTTGTTTTCAAGAAACCTACTATTTGTCTTAAGTTGAACCCTCAGAAAGCAAAGCTTTGATATTCATTATGTACTCTTTTTCTTTTCACTCTTCAACATATTTTTTAAGAAGCCATGGGTTATAAAAATCGAAATTTGCATTGGGGTATAATTTGGAAAAAGTGAATATTTTGAACTCACAACACAATTTGAAAAATAATACATTTCAGCCTATAAGGATACAGTCATTACATTTTATGACCATTTAAATACTGTAATAAATATTCATATCAAAGCATATAACAAAATAGTAATTTGAATACCACTTAATTAAAAAATATATATTAATGAGACAATAATGGCCCTGTCCCAAATGGCACCCTAAACCCTGGCGGTCTTCCTCTGAGTCCGCACTTTCGTGACGTAATGCCGCTTTGACTGTTGGGTAGAAGTCTGCTGGAGCTCGCCCCAGTGCTGGCTCAGCAGAAGTGCGGATCGAGGGCGCAAAGGGGGCGCTCGCAAGCACCCTTCTGAACGCTAAAATGACAAATGGGACACCCTACGGTCTCGTGGACTTAACGGACACGTGCACGCGGCGGCCATTGTAAAGCCCCGTTCACATTAAGAACGATAACTATAAAGATAACGATATTAGCATCCACACCAGCGAACGATATCGTCTGTTTATTCTAAGCGCACATGCATCTGCCGCTTTAAATTCTTGAGCTCGTTACAGCAGGATGGATTCTGATTGGCTGTCAGTGTTTTATCGTTCATCAGCTGGAAAAAAAATCGTTTTGAAAGTGATCACAATGATATCGTTCCTCTGTATCGTTATCGTTATAGTTGTGGTGTGAACTATGCTATTCTTTAATATTGAGAACGATTTTTAGAACTATGGCCGTTTCTCAATATGCGTTCTTCAGCGATCTTGCGTCTCGCTCTACGTCATCATTAACCGTCGAAGTTCAATTCCAATTCTCAAGAACGCAAGTACAGAGGACGCATGAAAGTTCCCGGATGTGTTCATGATATCGAGGATGCATCGAGTGCTGTATTTTTATTGGCATATTAAAATGAATCTTAACATAGTCATAGTTCAAAATATAACGCTGTAAAATAAAACGATATACAATTATATGTAAATAATATCTATGATAGTATGAAATGCTTTAATAAGTTATGACATTTGTTTGTAACGTTATGTTATATTTATGGTTCTTTGGCCGCTGCTTATGCTGTGACTATGCGGTCAGTTAGGCAAGAACGCAGCACATCTCAATTCTCATAAGGGTGCCTTCTGTGTCCTCGCTTCTTGCAATATCCGTATAACGCAATAACGCAAGTCCGTTCTTTGCGTTCTTGGAATTGAGAAACAGCCTATACCTTTATCGTTATCTTTATAGTTATCGTGCTTGGTGTGAACGGGCCTTAAGTCCGTAAGACATGAAGTGTTCCATTTGGGACAGGGCCAATGACGAAACAGCTCAGAAAACAGAAAAAATTGTATCATTAATTGAATAGGCTCCATTGTGTGACAGCAGCAACAGATTTGAGTACTGATCTCCAGCGTTGCATTTTTGCTACACTTGTGTGTACTTTATAAATAGATCATTTTGTTCCAAAAGCATTGAGAATTGGGTCCGTGCCATGTGCTATCAACATTTTGTGTCACTTCAACAAGCAGTGGCAATTACATTCACATTTTTTACAACCAAAACTTTTGCTTGATAAAAATTCAGTGTCAGCTACTGTTATGTGAGTTTTTTTTACTAATATTTAGTGAAAATGAGGTATTATTTGATTGCTTCATACAAATTATATTCTACAATTCTGCTACACCGGGTCTCTGAGGATAAACAAAAAACTGTAAATGGGTGTTCAGTACCTCGAAACGCTCCGATGTGTTGCGTGATTCCCCCCGCCTCCTGCGCAGCGATCTGACTCTTCCTCAGACTGTCCAGCAGGGTGGTCTTCCCATGATCTACATGACCCATGATGGTCACCACTGGAGCTCGAGGAACTAACTGAGCGGGATCTGGGGGAGGTCTGACAACAATTCAAACAGAAATTACAGAAAGGGACAAATGATACATATATAAACTCACTATTAAAATAGTTCTCACTGTCTCTGGATATCTTTGTTTTCTCTGACTTTGGTTTCTACGAGTTTGGCCCATTTGTGTTTCATTCCCGATCTCTTTACTGCTTCTTTTATCCATTTCTCCTCCAGCACTGTGTCGGGCTCCAACTCGTCCAGATCGACATCTGTGTTGAGCAGGGCCTCATAGACATGATCTAAGGATGGAATAACACAGATATACACTACTGTTATTACCATTTGGGGCCTGTAAGATATTTTATTCTACAGAAATTAATTTTATTCAGCATGGGTGGATGAAAGTGATTAAAAATGACAGTAAAAAAATAACAGTGCTACAAAAGATGGCTATTTCCAATAAATGCTGTTATTTTGAACTTTATATTCATCAAAGAATCCTGAAAAAAGCATTGCAGTTTCCACAAAAATATGAAGCAGCACAACTGTTTTCAACATTGATAATAATGAGAAATTTTTCTTGAGCAGCAAATTAGAATGATTTCTGAAGGATCGTGTGACTCTGAAAACTGGGGTAATGATGCTGAAAATTCAGCTTTGATCACAGAAATAAATTACATTTTAAAATATATTCAAATTGAAAACAGCTATTTTGAATTGTAATAACATTTCACAATATTACTGTTTTTAATCCTATTTTATTGAAATAAATGCATGTGGCCATAACACTCACCAATGTCTTTATTCATGGCCTTGGCGAGTTCTGACACAGTCATCCTCTGTTTGATCTCCACCTCCTGCTTCTGTTGTTTCTCTAGTTTCACTGGTTTGGAGTTGATCTTCTGACCTTTGAATTGGCCCTTATTCTACAGCAGGACAAACAAAGCACATTCTGCTCAGCACACGCACACAAGGCATTCAAACTATTCTGATAAGCATTAGCGAAGGGTTTGACATTTTGAGACTGGCCTGTTTTGCAGCCAGGTGTCGGATCTGCGGACAGGTGTAAGGAGGTCCAGGGGCCCAGGCAGGTAGAGGGGGAAAATGTGGGCTCCCATGATGCCAACAGGACACTGCAGTCCTGCCAATCAAGGTTGCTATCCGCTTCATTGCAGATTTTCTAATTTAAAAAAAAAAAATAATAAATTAAGCTACAGTTTATATACAGATAATGTGCAAATATTGCGTTAATCCAGGACAATCAATACACATACAGCACAACTTAGAAGACAAATTACTTTAAAATGACAGTTGAGAGGTATGATGAATATCAATATTTAAATAGCTTGTTTTATGCAAATGTTTAGATTTGACACAAATTAACCTATTACTAAAGATATTTGGTCCCTATGTACTGTCACGCCATGGTACAGTGATGGTATCAAATGTTAATACCATGATAATTTAATAAATGCAATGGCACTGAATGATTACTGTATGTGTCATTCTATTTGCATGGTACTCCAGCCAATTCGAAGAACACCATGGTATTACCATGGTACATGCCAAAAGACTTTGTATTACCCCAGTATATGTTCATATAAAATGGTATTACAATGATAAATGTCATAAATAATCATAAAACACACGCTAATACCAAGGCACGTTTTCTACTTACTAAATAAGAGGAAGTGCACTCAACACAGCCACCGCTGAATTCATTCAGTATACAGACTTTGAAAGCAGAAGAAGAAAAGAAGAAAAAATCAACTTAGGCAAATAATATCTAAAGTCAGATGTCATTTCTGTTGTAAGGGACTCGCTCTCACAAATATTTGACGGCTCTTGAAAGTAAACATTTATCGTTTTGTTTTGCTTAATTTTAATAAAGTTATAAGACCCGGAGAAAGTCTGCAGTATTTTTATTGGCATATTAAAATGAATCTTAACATAGTCATAGTTCAAAATATAACGCTGTAAAATAAAACGATATACAATTATATGTAAATAATATCTATGATAGTATGAAATGCTTTAATAAGTTATGACATTTGTTTGTAATGTTATGTTATATTTATGGTTCATTGGCCGCTGCTTATGCTGTGACTATGCGGTCAGTTAAGCAAGAACGCAGCACATCTCAATTCTCATAAGGGTGCCTTCTGTGTCCTCGCTTCTTGCAATATCCGTATAACGCAATAACGCAAGTCCGTTCTTTGCGTTCTTGGAATTGAGAAACAGCCTATACCTTTATCGTTATCTTTATAGTTATCGTGCTTGGTGTGAACGGGCCTTAAGTCCGTAAGACATGAAGTGTTCCATTTGGGACAGGGCCAATGACGAAACAGCTCAGAAAACAGAAAAAATTGTATCATTAATTGAATAGGCTCCATTGTGTGACAGCAGCAACAGATTTGAGTACTGATCTCCAGCGTTGCATTTTTGCTACACTTGTGTGTACTTTATAAATAGATCATTTTGTTCCAAAAGCATTGAGAATTGGGTCCGTGCCATGTGCTATCAACATTTTGTGTCACTTCAACAAGCAGTGGCAATTACATTCACATTTTTTACAACCAAAACTTTTGCTTGATAAAAATTCAGTGTCAGCTACTGTTATGTGAGTTTTTTTTACTAATATTTAGTGAAAATGAGGTATTATTTGATTGCTTCATACAAATTATATTCTACAATTCTGCTACACCGGGTCTCTGAGGATAAACAAAAAACTGTAAATGGGTGTTCAGTACCTCGAAACGCTCCGATGTGTTGCGTGATTCCCCCCGCCTCCTGCGCAGCGATCTGACTCTTCCTCAGACTGTCCAGCAGGGTGGTCTTCCCATGATCTACATGACCCATGATGGTCACCACTGGAGCTCGAGGAACTAACTGAGCGGGATCTGGGGGAGGTCTGACAACAATTCAAACAGAAATTACAGAAAGGGACAAATGATACATATATAAACTCACTATTAAAATAGTTCTCACTGTCTCTGGATATCTTTGTTTTCTCTGACTTTGGTTTCTACGAGTTTGGCCCATTTGTGTTTCATTCCCGATCTCTTTACTGCTTCTTTTATCCATTTCTCCTCCAGCACTGTGTCGGGCTCCAACTCGTCCAGATCGACATCTGTGTTGAGCAGGGCCTCATAGACATGATCTAAGGATGGAATAACACAGATATACACTACTGTTATTACCATTTGGGGCCTGTAAGATATTTTATTCTACAGAAATTAATTTTATTCAGCATGGGTGGATGAAAGTGATTAAAAATGACAGTAAAAAAATAACAGTGCTACAAAAGATGGCTATTTCCAATAAATGCTGTTATTTTGAACTTTATATTCATCAAAGAATCCTGAAAAAAGCATTGCAGTTTCCACAAAAATATGAAGCAGCACAACTGTTTTCAACATTGATAATAATGAGAAATTTTTCTTGAGCAGCAAATTAGAATGATTTCTGAAGGATCGTGTGACTCTGAAAACTGGGGTAATGATGCTGAAAATTCAGCTTTGATCACAGAAATAAATTACATTTTAAAATATATTCAAATTGAAAACAGCTATTTTGAATTGTAATAACATTTCACAATATTACTGTTTTTAATCCTATTTTATTGAAATAAATGCATGTGGCCATAACACTCACCAATGTCTTTATTCATGGCCTTGGCGAGTTCTGACACAGTCATCCTCTGTTTGATCTCCACCTCCTGCTTCTGTTGTTTCTCTAGTTTCACTGGTTTGGAGTTGATCTTCTGACCTTTGAATTGGCCCTTATTCTACAGCAGGACAAACAAAGCACATTCTGCTCAGCACACGCACACAAGGCATTCAAACTATTCTGATAAGCATTAGCGAAGGGTTTGACATTTTGAGACTGGCCTGTTTTGCAGCCAGGTGTCGGATCTGCGGACAGGTGTAAGGAGGTCCAGGGGCCCAGGCAGGTAGAGGGGGAAAATGTGGGCTCCCATGATGCCAACAGGACACTGCAGTCCTGCCAATCAAGGTTGCTATCCGCTTCATTGCAGATTTTCTAATTTAAAAAAAAAAAATAATAAATTAAGCTACAGTTTATATACAGATAATGTGCAAATATTGCGTTAATCCAGGACAATCAATACACATACAGCACAACTTAGAAGACAAATTACTTTAAAATGACAGTTGAGAGGTATGATGAATATCAATATTTAAATAGCTTGTTTTATGCAAATGTTTAGATTTGACACAAATTAACCTATTACTAAAGATATTTGGTCCCTATGTACTGTCACGCCATGGTACAGTGATGGTATCAAATGTTAATACCATGATAATTTAATAAATGCAATGGCACTGAATGATTACTGTATGTGTCATTCTATTTGCATGGTACTCCAGCCAATTCGAAGAACACCATGGTATTACCATGGTACATGCCAAAAGACTTTGTATTACCCCAGTATATGTTCATATAAAATGGTATTACAATGATAAATGTCATAAATAATCATAAAACACACGCTAATACCAAGGCACGTTTTCTACTTACTAAATAAGAGGAAGTGCACTCAACACAGCCACCGCTGAATTCATTCAGTATACAGACTTTGAAAGCAGAGGTGAGAAGAAAAAATCAACTTAGGCAAATAATATCTAAAGTCAGATGTCATTTCTGTTGTAAGGGCGCCGCCATGACAGTGTATCCCACAATGTATTGCGCAGAATGCAGTTCAAAACACAAACACGCGGTGGCGACATAATCACAAAGTCCATGGAGCTCTCTAAAATATTGTGATATAGAAATTGAACAAGTCAAATTAACACGCTCAGACATATTTGGGTAAAATGCCCAATACACTATTTATACTTGTATTTTTAACTAATCATATGTACATGCATATCTTGTCTATTGTGTACATGCGTAATGTCTAGTTGTATTTCTTCTGTGTACTGGAAGCTTCACAAAGACAAAGCTCTTGTTTGTGCAAGCATACTTTATTATGTACTTTTTGCTTGCTTTTTACGTATTTTATGAAACATTATTTTTCAAATTGTTGGAAAATGTCTAAATATGAAGGCTACTAATACCAAAGCGCGTGGTACCTGTTACTTTTCTCAGCCCTTGTCAGGATGAACCAATCACAGCTGTATGCGCTTAGTGGAGGAAAACATTGTTGATTGCTGGGGTGGATTTCTGTTTGTACTTAAGATACAATTAATATTTTAAATACTCGCTCTCACAAATATTTGACGGCTCTTGAAAGTAAACATTTATCGTTTTGTTTTGCTTAATTTTAATAAAGTTATAAGACCCGGAGAAAGTCTGCAGTATTTTTATTGGCATATTAAAATGAATCTTAACATAGTCATAGTTCAAAATATAACGCTGTAAAATAAAACGATATACAATTATATGTAAATAATATCTATGATAGTATGAAATGCTTTAATAAGTTATGACATTTGTTTGTAATGTTATGTTATATTTATGGTTCATTGGCCGCTGCTTATGCTGTGACTATGCGGTCAGTTAAGCAAGAACGCAGCACATCTCAATTCTCATAAGGGTGCCTTCTGTGTCCTCGCTTCTTGCAATATCCGTATAACGCAATAACGCAAGTCCGTTCTTTGCGTTCTTGGAATTGAGAAACAGCCTATACCTTTATCGTTATCTTTATAGTTATCGTGCTTGGTGTGAACGGGCCTTAAGTCCGTAAGACATGAAGTGTTCCATTTGGGACAGGGCCAATGACGAAACAGCTCAGAAAACAGAAAAAATTGTATCATTAATTGAATAGGCTCCATTGTGTGACAGCAGCAACAGATTTGAGTACTGATCTCCAGCGTTGCATTTTTGCTACACTTGTGTGTACTTTATAAATAGATCATTTTGTTCCAAAAGCATTGAGAATTGGGTCCGTGCCATGTGCTATCAACATTTTGTGTCACTTCAACAAGCAGTGGCAATTACATTCACATTTTTTACAACCAAAACTTTTGCTTGATAAAAATTCAGTGTCAGCTACTGTTATGTGAGTTTTTTTTACTAATATTTAGTGAAAATGAGGTATTATTTGATTGCTTCATACAAATTATATTCTACAATTCTGCTACACCGGGTCTCTGAGGATAAACAAAAAACTGTAAATGGGTGTTCAGTACCTCGAAACGCTCCGATGTGTTGCGTGATTCCCCCCGCCTCCTGCGCAGCGATCTGACTCTTCCTCAGACTGTCCAGCAGGGTGGTCTTCCCATGATCTACATGACCCATGATGGTCACCACTGGAGCTCGAGGAACTAACTGAGCGGGATCTGGGGGAGGTCTGACAACAATTCAAACAGAAATTACAGAAAGGGACAAATGATACATATATAAACTCACTATTAAAATAGTTCTCACTGTCTCTGGATATCTTTGTTTTCTCTGACTTTGGTTTCTACGAGTTTGGCCCATTTGTGTTTCATTCCCGATCTCTTTACTGCTTCTTTTATCCATTTCTCCTCCAGCACTGTGTCGGGCTCCAACTCGTCCAGATCGACATCTGTGTTGAGCAGGGCCTCATAGACATGATCTAAGGATGGAATAACACAGATATACACTACTGTTATTACCATTTGGGGCCTGTAAGATATTTTATTCTACAGAAATTAATTTTATTCAGCATGGGTGGATGAAAGTGATTAAAAATGACAGTAAAAAAATAACAGTGCTACAAAAGATGGCTATTTCCAATAAATGCTGTTATTTTGAACTTTATATTCATCAAAGAATCCTGAAAAAAGCATTGCAGTTTCCACAAAAATATGAAGCAGCACAACTGTTTTCAACATTGATAATAATGAGAAATTTTTCTTGAGCAGCAAATTAGAATGATTTCTGAAGGATCGTGTGACTCTGAAAACTGGGGTAATGATGCTGAAAATTCAGCTTTGATCACAGAAATAAATTACATTTTAAAATATATTCAAATTGAAAACAGCTATTTTGAATTGTAATAACATTTCACAATATTACTGTTTTTAATCCTATTTTATTGAAATAAATGCATGTGGCCATAACACTCACCAATGTCTTTATTCATGGCCTTGGCGAGTTCTGACACAGTCATCCTCTGTTTGATCTCCACCTCCTGCTTCTGTTGTTTCTCTAGTTTCACTGGTTTGGAGTTGATCTTCTGACCTTTGAATTGGCCCTTATTCTACAGCAGGACAAACAAAGCACATTCTGCTCAGCACACGCACACAAGGCATTCAAACTATTCTGATAAGCATTAGCGAAGGGTTTGACATTTTGAGACTGGCCTGTTTTGCAGCCAGGTGTCGGATCTGCGGACAGGTGTAAGGAGGTCCAGGGGCCCAGGCAGGTAGAGGGGGAAAATGTGGGCTCCCATGATGCCAACAGGACACTGCAGTCCTGCCAATCAAGGTTGCTATCCGCTTCATTGCAGATTTTCTAATTTAAAAAAAAATAATAATAAATTAAGCTACAGTTTATATACAGATAATGTGCAAATATTGCGTTAATCCAGGACAATCAATACACATACAGCACAACTTAGAAGACAAATTACTTTAAAATGACAGTTGAGAGGTATGATGAATATCAATATTTAAATAGCTTGTTTTATGCAAATGTTTAGATTTGACACAAATTAACCTATTACTAAAGATATTTGGTCCCTATGTACTGTCACGCCATGGTACAGTGATGGTATCAAATGTTAATACCATGATAATTTAATAAATGCAATGGCACTGAATGATTACTGTATGTGTCATTCTATTTGCATGGTACTCCAGCCAATTCGAAGAACACCATGGTATTACCATGGTACATGCCAAAAGACTTTGTATTACCCCAGTATATGTTCATATAAAATGGTATTACAATGATAAATGTCATAAATAATCATAAAACACACGCTAATACCAAGGCACGTTTTCTACTTACTAAATAAGAGGAAGTGCACTCAACACAGCCACCGCTGAATTCATTCAGTATACAGACTTTGAAAGCAGAAGAAGAAAAGAAGAAAAAATCAACTTAGGCAAATAATATCTAAAGTCAGATGTCATTTCTGTTGTAAGGGCGCCGCCATGACAGTGTATCCCACAATGTATTGCGCAGAATGCAGTTCAAAACACAAACACGCGGTGGCGACATAATCACAAAGTCCATGGAGCTCTCTAAAATATTGTGATATAGAAATTGAACAAGTCAAATTAACACGCTCAGACATATTTGGGTAAAATGCCCAATACACTATTTATACTTGTATTTTTAACTAATCATATGTACATGCATATCTTGTCTATTGTGTACATGCGTAATGTCTAGTTGTATTTCTTCTGTGTACTGGAAGCTTCACAAAGACAAAGCTCTTGTTTGTGCAAGCATACTTTATTATGTACTTTTTGCTTGCTTTTTACGTATTTTATGAAACATTATTTTTCAAATTGTTGGAAAATGTCTAAATATGAAGGCTACTAATACCAAAGCGCGTGGTACCTGTTACTTTTCTCAGCCCTTGTCAGGATGAACCAATCACAGCTGTATGCGCTTAGTGGAGGAAAACATTGTTGATTGCTGGGGTGGATTTCTGTTTGTACTTAAGATACAATTAATATTTTAAATTAATACCTTTAAACGATTACCTTTTAGTGTTCAAATGTCTCCTATATGTCAGAAAACGTCCTGACATTTCAATGAATGGAAATTTCAACTTACTGAGCCACCAAAGTCATCAAAAACCACATTGTCTATATTAGTGAGGCTTTATTAATCAAAATCGTAGTCTTTTTATTTATATTTCAAACCTGCTTACAAATAGGAAACATAAGCACAACCAGCACAACAAACAAACAGGTTTTATTACGTTAGAAGGAAAACATGATGAAACTTAAGCAAGATACACAGGTACTCTGAGATATTAACTGGTTTTTAACAAACACAAGGTGCATTTTAGCTAAAAAATACTGCTCCTCTATACTGCAAAAAAGGAAAAAGACTTTAATATACAGTAGTCAGAACAAATGAACCACAGCAGTCTTGATGCTACATGCTCAAAGGGACACTTGTATTTAATTTTAATTTTTTACATTTAACCTTCATGCATGGAATTTGGAAAAAAAAAAAAAAAACTTGGGATCAGTTACTACATAGTTAAAATGCAAACAATAGAGATTAGGAGACAAAATATTGAGTGATAGGGGAAAAAATATACATGTGTCAACCAAGAAAAATTAAGGACCGTAGTTGAGGATTGTTCAAGGACGAGGATTGTTTCTTGTCTTCCTGACTGATTATGCCTGAATTCACCTCAGAGATGGCATAATCATAGTGCATAGTTGCCTTTCACATGGTCAGAATAAGATGTTCGTATTTATATGATTCTGGTATGATTTCAGTAAAGGGGTTTACGTGGAACCTTTTCTAACTGGTATCATTTTAACTTCACTCACTGAAAATTGTGTTTGTGAAGACCGAATCAATGGTGAATGGTGAATCAAAACGCTGTTCTGGTTTGTGGTCTTCCTCTTCCAAGTCAGGGCTTTCTTTTAATACCTCATCACTGGGGTCAGGCTGAGGTTCAGCACCGTTCTTACTTGACACCGTTCCCGCTGGCTTCACTGACATAGTGCTATGGACACTGGCACGTCGACTGTTGCCCTCTGACGTTGAGATGACACAGCTGGCGCGGGGCAGAGTGGACAGAGCCTGGC